TTATCTGCTACCAGAATGTGCGCGCCCTCCAGCGAAAGTGTCATATAAGAGCAATTGTAATAGACGGCTGCTTACTAACTTACAGGTTATCAACAGATGTTTTCAGCGTTAAATACAGAAAAGTAAAGTTTGACAGATATTCGAAACTGTCTAACTTAACTGGTATACATTCGCTTTACTACCCGATTTCAACCATGTGTTGTGTGACATGTATTTTTCGTTAATGCGATATCAGTTTAACGCTATTTCTCACTAAATGCGAGTTATTACGTACAACCTACCAACATTTGCTTGGTTTACAGTATAGACCAGTGATCAGTTGTGATATAGTGGTCTGGCTATTTTTATACCATTATACAAAAGGGGCTAGCAACAATAGATATTGGATCCATAGTATCCAGATAAATGTCGTTGTTAATGCCAGCCCCGTGTGAATTCTAAGGTAAAGAAACCAGTAGCATCGCCGGTAAGCCAACTCCTACTATGCACGTGCTAGCAATATGCTTTTCTATAATTTATGATTACAGTAATTTAAAGAATGTGTCTTGATAACGACAACGTTTATATCAGTGTACATTTCCTTAAAATGCAATGCATTTTATATATGTAAGAATAATAATAATAATATACAACATTTATATAGCGCCCTATATCATTTGTAAAATAACTCTTAAGCGCTTTACAACATATGGATAATAGTAATAGTTATTATTGTGAAACAAAAACAAAGGTTACAATCACATTTAAACATTAAAGCAAGCAATGTGCACATAATTGAACAAATAAAGGGTGGTATTTACAAGACGTCTTTGCAGAGATCCTAAAATGCAGGCATGAAGTGGTGAGCTTTGATGTCCCTCTTGAATTTTTTCAGGGTATTTGACTTTCTAATAGCAGATGGTAAGCTTTTCCACAACGTACCCAACACCCTCCCAAAGCACCGGTTTCCATAGGTCATAGTACGGCTGATACAGGGTAACAAAATCCTGTAGGTACTGAGGAGCTGTTCCATTCAGTGCCTGGTATGTATACACCAAAATTGTGTATTGCGACCTATATCGTGCAGGTAACCAGTGCAATGAATATAGCACAGGTGTGATGTGCTCTTTCTTTTGAGTACGAGTAACCAGCCGTGCTGCAGTGTTCTTGTTCTCTGCAGACGACTAGTTAGTTTGTCAGATAAACCACAGAGCAGGGCGTTACCACAATCCAACCGAGAGGTAACGAGTGAATGCACAAAAATCTTGCATGCATTTTCAGTTATAAACTGCCGTTAACAGCCGATGTTTCTGATCTGGTAGTAACATGTTTTGGCAATAGCGTTCACTTGTTGCTCCATGTTCATTGAACTATCAAAGTATATCCCTAGGTTTTTAACAGCTGGGACAGTCTCAATAGTTCTGGCACCGACCTTGAGCTGGAGAGCCATTGTTTGATGACACTTTGGGGAAAAGACCATTAGTTTCGTCTTTTCCTGATTAAGCTTTAGCATAATGGAGTTCATCCAGGTACTGATATCTGTCAGACAAGCTTCCAGATTTTCTGAAACTGTATCCCAACTGCCCTGTGGTTTGATGGCCCTGTAAATTTGTGTGTCGTCAGCATAGCAATGATAGCGAAGACTTTGGCGACGACATATCTCTCCAATCGGTTTGGAGTACAGGCAATATTTTCGTGGTCCTAACACCGACCCTTGAGGAACCCCGAAATCTAGTACTTTGTCATGGGAGGTGGTTGATCCGATGTCAACACACTGTCGTCTTTCACTCAAATAAGACTGTATCCAGCATAGCGCGGTATCAGTCACTCCATAAGAGTATTACAGACGTTTATAAAGTATGCCATGGTCGATGACGTCAAATGCAGCATGACAAGCACCGCTCTGCACTTGTTATTCAAGGCAGAAGCTGTGTCATTATGTATACGTAGGAGGGCCGTCTCAGTAGAGTGTCCCATGCGGTAAGCCGATTACATGTTGTCATGGAGACTGTTTGCATGGAGATTAACCTCTGAACGCCGGGACACAACCTTCTAATTTGTTCATGATTGAGGTAATCAAAGGAAGCAGTGCTTCAAGACATTGCTTTAATAAGTTTGCAGGCAGTGAATCAAGCTCACAGGACTTCGATTGCGAGGTCATGATTATATTGCGCAACTCGTCCTGGTTTGTTGGCGAGAGCAATTTCAGCAGTCATGACAGAAATATCATTGTCAGCAGAAGAGTTCACTTCAGCAAAATTTGTCCTGATTGAGCTGATTTTATTCAGAAAGTAATCACTGAACTTGTGTGATAAGTCTTTTTCTGAATTACAGTTTGGTAGGATAATTTCACCTTTCTGGCCCATTAGATTTTTGGTGAGTTTAAAAAAATGTCTATGATCCTTACCACATACTTCGATTCTTTCCGAATAATAAGCCTTCTTTGACTGAATGAGAAGTGAACCAACTAGCCGACATTGTTCCCTATAAATCTGTTGGTGAACGGTTAATTTGGTCGGTCGCCACTGTCTCTCTGCTTTTCTACGGTTCTGTTTTCTACGCGGAGATTTTCATTATAACACAGGGCATTCGGTCTCACAGTTATCACCTTAGTCTGCAGCTGTGCGTGTTTCTCTATAAGGGTTTCTATACCAGATGTTTATGCTTCAACAAGATCATCAACCCCCCCCCCCCCCCCCCCCCCCCTTGAGTAGATTGAAGGGCGGAAGAAGACTGGATGTCATTGTTGAAATCTTAAAGCTCGCCTCTTTCCTTGCACGATCTGGCTTATTACAATTCAGTGATGCGTGGACAGCAAGATGATCACGTATATATGGATCAGACACTGAAACTGCTCCATCAATGACTGAGTTATCTTCCCTCGTTATGGCCACATCCAGTGTGTGGCCATGAATGTGTGTAGCTTCTGTCACGTGCTGAATCAGACCCCTGAAATCTAGTAGCCCAGAGAACTGGCGAGCATCAACATTAGATAGATCGTCTAAGTGGAACTTTAGATCACCCGTGATAAGAATCTCTTGTAGTACAACAACTTGGTGGTCTAAAAAGGTATAACATTCATCAAAAAGCATTCTGTTTAGATGGAGGAGGCCTGTAAATTATACACAAAATAAAATGTTTATCGCCAGCAATGACAGAACAGGTACAACCGCTGGTTCCGTTTAATTTAACCCCGATAACAATTGGTATTCGCCTAACAGCAGCCTTTCCTGTCCGTGTCCCACGTCTTGTGCGCAAGTTCTTTTCCTACTTTGATTCCTTATAATCCTCTAAAAGATGTGTAGTAATATCATGACTCATTGGTCTAAGTGCCAGGAGAACAGATCTACTATACTTAATTATATATGACTGTGATATCAATCTCCGCTAATGGAAGACAAAATCACAGCGTGGAAATTCAAGGTGCTGCAGGGGTTCCCACATAGGTCGCTTCCTCTATGGCATGTACCGAGATGATATATATTAGAAATGATCCTACAATTTCTAGTATTCACAACATATGCGAAACAACGTCAAACAAAAACAGTAGTACAACAGTGCAAAATGTCTAGAACATATCTACCAAATTTCTGATTCCGATTCTGGAAGGGGACTCACATTACAAATGTCATCAGAAAATTACTACAAATAGAATCAGAAATCTATACAAGCCCAGTTAATATTGACATCAAATGATTATTACAGTTTTTGTATCACTGCAAAAGCGTATTATGTGAAAAATGTGAAAAGAATGTTTAAAAAATATAAATGTACTTAACTAAAAATAGTATATTATATTATATTATATTAATTAACTGACTAGAAATTCAGAAAAAAACCTGGACAAGTGTGCGTTCGCGAGAGACGAAACGGGTTGTATTTAAACTTTTGCAATATGTATTATATAAAAAATGTACAGACGTCACTTCGTCAAAACAACAACAAAACTGTAGACAACTCGCCCAGCGGCTAAAATTCTGCCCTCTGATATACGAAATTAAAACCAAACATTACGACAAAATTTCATTAAATTTGTATAAAACTAATGAAGTTGCAAGTTTAGATTTATATAATTTGATATCCGATATAACAGAACGGACACCCGATTTGTCTGCCTTTTATTAATAGACTTCGAATCAATGTCGTTCGTTAATACCTAAACCATACTATTTATCTCACATATTTGTTAACTACCTTTAACATTATATAATTATAAAACATAAACACTAATTGATCATTTAAATTAATGCTTAACAATTGTTTTTTTTCAATTAGTATATATGTATTGACCAACAAACCTGATCCGACAGGGGGCGTACAAATACTATTCTTAGATGTATGGTCATTAATCGTGTTTTAGACCATGTCAATGCGTTGAACTGAAACAGGTGTTCAGCGTACTCTTTGCGCCATATCTCATTCGTAGGTACATGTAGGTGTATTATGGCAATTCGAACCCAACTGGGCAAGATGGCCACCGTAAACGAGTTTCTGATTGTCCGAGCTTTTGATATTGTCAGATTTCGATCACATTTAACACGTAGGTGTATTATGGCACTGCGACATCTGTTTTCTGATTGGACAAGATGACCAACGTATACCGGCATTCGATTGGTAGAAATTTAGATAGAGTCCGAGTTTGCTCCAATCTGGTGTGCATGTGTATCATGACATTGCTCTTTCTTTCTTATGTTAGATTTTTAACTGGAGCTATAAGGGAGATTTGTGTAACGGTCAAAATATGCAACCATAATATACAAAAACGAATATTGTGAAGTTAATCATTGATGTAAACCTCTTAACGTTTCACATGTTAAACACATTTTGCTTGTTTCATTTAATATTTTGTTCGAGGTAATGCATATGTCGTTTAAAAGCGTAGCATAGCAGGGCCTGGACATGTCTTCGAGCTAATTGTAGCAATGCACATAAACTCCAGGCTAGATTTTGGGTAAAATTCATTTCGACATTTGTTCGAAACCCTTGCCATCGAAATAATACGTTTTCTTTTTGATATATAGGACACAGAACTGGAAATGCACATATTTGAGAAAGAGGTTGGGGTCCGAAGGTCAGAAATTGCAGGTGGCTCATGGAGTGTCGTCATACCTGTCCTAAACGAGGCTTTTGGAATAAGGAAAACTCTTGAATCTGTCGTCCAGGTTATTATATTTTAAATACAGTTCTTAAATATCTTGACTTTGAACTACGTGTAATCATATTATTAAAATAAAAAATGTTTTTTTAATTCTTAAATTACGCTATCTACAACATTAATTCCATTATGTCGTATATCATTGTCCATTCAAATTTCTGAAATGATCAGATTCTTCCTTTATGTTCACTTTGAACCTGTGCGTTGTTGCATTATTGTTCAAATAAAATATATGCTATGTGAACTCCCTAAGTGAAAGTAAAATGTCAAACACCAATATATCGTATAAATAGTTACAGAAATACCCCATATATATATATATATAAACGTTGTGTATATTTCATAATTTTGAAATGCAAAAAAGAAGCGATATTTAATTATCAAAGTAGTTAATTCATTTTAATTACTGAGACGAAATCTTTTCCAATAGAAACAACCTCCGTCTGAAAACATGTACGTTGGACAACTCTCTGTTCAGTCGCGGTTCGTTCATTCCTAATACGTTTTCTCGCACACATGAAGAAAAATGGGGTCTTGCTATTAGGTAAAATAGATAAAAAGTACATTTCCTGTCTTACAATTTATAGCGAATAAAACGAATTCCTGCGTAGTGACCTGCTACTCCGTTATTTGTCTGTATTCTCATCACCTAACTCTAGAGAAACTTCGATTCAATTTCGATGAAAATTCAATGAATCAACAGAGGCGTTCACAGTTGCAAATTGATTAGATGATGTCTTTCGAGTTTGATTGTGCATGCAAAAGAAACAGAGCGTTTTCAATAAATAAGTTATTCGAGTAAGTTTGTGTTATCCTTGGACGACCCGGCGAAAATAACACAATACTGTTAGCATTTGAATACAAATATTTTTATCTCAAACTTGATGTTTGCCGTTTTTGCAATCTGTTTTTGCATTGGCTTTTCCTCATCAAGTCATCTCTCGGACTCTTATCAATGCTTTCAGAATTGTAGTGACATAAATTGCATTAAAGAGGTTCTCGTGTGTGACGGAGGGAGTACCGACAACACCCATGACGTCATCACTGCATTTGGGCGGACGTCCCCTATCAGGATCAGACTTATTCACAGCCCACCAGGTACTGTACTCTGTGACTTCAAAAAAATAATGAAGGAATGTATTGATATGCTTAGTTTCATTTTAGATTAAACATATTTTATTGTAATTTATATATAATGGGATTTGAGCACATCTTATATTAAGCCCTTTCCCTACAATATATTAATACACATTTTAAAGGTGGCATATTATGTTTATATTTATGTTTATATTGGATTTAATAGATATATATTTATATATATATATCATAAAAGCAGGAACAATGATCTTTACGGACGAAGAAATAATCTAAAAAGAAAATATCTCAACAATGAGTCTTTCGTACATTCATCTCTTCAATGAGATTCTTCAGGCTGTTTATTTGAAGTAGATATTATGACGTCATAAACTATGACGTCACCTAATAGTTCGCTATAGTGTCGTCCGCTGTATGCGTACCCGCCATAGCAATATCACAGCAATATAGAAATACATAATGAAATACATTATCATATACATGTATCTACTAAATGGGACTTATTGGTAAACATGTTGGAGTGCAAGAAAATATACTGAAAATCTTTTTGTATTTAGAATAAATTGTAGCGACTGTTTTGCTTTGAATATGTTTACTAGATAGGAAAATGTATTATTACCGTATAGAATTTAAAGCCCCTATCTCACATTCACGAATCTGAACACGAATGAACACGACTTAACGTTTTTCCTTAAATCGTGTTAGAACGTATGACGGTCGCGCACTCATTCGTGTTAAGTCGTGGTCGGTCGCGCGCGGTCGTATGGACGTCGCAGCTCGGCTTAAATTGTGTTATAATTTTTTGCAATGCAAACATGTATAACACGATTTAAAGCCGAGCTGAAAAGTCGTGTTCAGTCGTATGAAGGTCGTATGAAGGTCGTATGACAGTCGTGTTTAATCGTATGAAGATCGTGTTCAGTCGTATGCAGATCGTGTTCAGTCGCGTTCAGTCAACACGACTTTCATACGCCTTTCATACGACTCCCATACGCCTGAACACGAAATCCATACGTTTGTCATACGACCGGAAACGCCCATCACGTGACTGAGTGAGAACGTGGGAAACCCCCTGAAAGTGAAAACTCATTCAACAGCCTCAGGCGGCAGAAACGGAAGCTCCTCCAAGCAAAACCTTCGAAAGGGAAACATCATTCACCATCAACCATGGATGAATATCCACCCGGTACCCAGGGACAAGATGAGCCAGCTGAAACCTCTGAACCACCACCAAAATCGCCAACAACAATAAAAACAACAACTGAAACTGACATCCAGCCATCTGAGCAGCCATCAACATTCAACATTCCATCATCACCACCTCCACCTTCATCTCCATGTTACATGTTACATCTTCCTCGTTTTGAAAAGAGGTTGTGGTTCTGGAAGACCTGCAGTGCCTTGGTCCAGTTCCTGATAGATGTCGCAGTCCCTGAAGACACCACCATCTGATCAACTACCATTTGCAGATACTTGTATGCAGCGTCAACTATTGCGAGGAGTATGATAAAGTAGAATCCCCTATAGTTATAATAGAAAGAGCCTTAATTTCGTGGACATTTTATAGCTACATGTTTTCCATCTATTTCACCAGGTTATGAAAGTTCCATTTCGTTGAAAACTCATCAGCCACCTCCTTCCAAGCTTCTTGGGTTTTTGGTGTCGGCATTACCTCTTCTGTGTCCTCTTGTGCAATACTCTCACATGTTCCGTAGACAATCGTAGATATGGTATTAGCAAGCACTTTAAAACCACATTGAAGTAATCGGTAATAGTGGCTGTATAACGCAGTGTTATAGCTAGGCGAAGCCCAGGCTCTAGTGCCTTTCTCCAGAAGGTGTACTTTTTTCAAAACGAGGACCAACGCGTTCTTCTAGTTCCATGAACATCTCCTGAGTGACACGCAAGAAGTTGGTAAATGTATTCATATCTTCACGATACAGTTCTTGCATTAGGTGTTCATACTGCCCATACATAGGTCTCCTCAACAACCATGGTCGAACCCAGAATCTCTTCCCGAACCTCACTCTGAGACGCCTACGCTGCCTCCAACCCCTCACCATCAAAGCCAAAGCTACCAGATGTACTTCCTCCTCCTCCAAAGCTGCTTCTTGCGGGTCTTGTACGTTGTTGAACATTGTGAAGACTGACACAGAAATGCTGTTGCAATGCAGCTTATATACTACATATCCCACGTATGGGCATCATATGACAGTCGTATTTGGTGGTATGAAGTGGTCGTATTGGGGTCGTGTTAAATGAGGTTAAATCGTGTTGTATCGTATGAATATCTTATGACGGTCGTATGAGTGTCGTGTTCAGTCGTATGAAGGTCGGTTTTGGTCGTATGAGGGTCGTGTTTGGTTAAGAAATGTGCATAAACCACTTCGATTTTGTTAATTGAAGTCGGGAATAAGGTATACTGTAATTTTCAGCAATACGGAGGTTATCGGAAACTGTAGGGGAAAGTAAAGCGGTAAGACACAATGAGTCTCTACTTGAGTAAGAAGGTAACCAATTAATAATCCTTGCAACCTCAACCTGAATACCTTATGCCGTGGCACGGCGTCCGTCTGTCCGGCGTCCGGCGTCAATATTTTATTTTAAACAACTTCTTCTTAAAAAACAAAAGGCCTAGGGTGATGATATTTGGCCATTAACATGCTGGAATGGAGGGCTGCCAAATTTGTTCAAATAAATTACCTTCACTCATATTCAAGGTCACAGGGGTCAAATATGTTATAATTTTTTAACGTCTCCTTCTGAATAACCAAAGTGCCCAGGGTGATGCTATTTGGTCAGTAGCATGCTTGGATGAAGGGCTACCACGTTTGTTCAAATGAATGACCTTCACTCATATTCAAGGTCACATGAGTCAATTGTTTTTAAAAACCTTTAAGCAACTTCTTCTGAATAACTAAAAGGCCTAGCTAGGGTGATGATATTTGGCCAGTAGCATGCTGGGATGAAGGGCTACCAAGTTTTTTTAAAATTAATGACCTTCACTCATATTCACGGTCAGAGGATCACATATGTTAAAATCTTTAAACGACTTTATATAACTTAAAGGCCCGGGGTGATGATGACTGGTCAGTAGTATGCTGGGAAGAAGGGCTACAAATTTGTTCAAAGAAATGATGTTGACTTACATTCAAGGTCACAGGGGTCAAATATATGTAAAATCTTTAAACGACATCCTCTGAATAACCATGCGGCCCAGGATGATGACATCTGGCCATTATCATGCTTGCATGAAGTGCTACCTAGTTTGTTCAAATGAATGACGTTGACTTATATTCAAGGTCACAGGGGTCAGATTTGTTTAGAAAATTTAAACGATTTCTTCTGAATAACCATGAGGCCCAGAATGATGATATTTGGATGAAGGGCTACATATATCATTACAACTATGTTGAATTTCAATTCTATCTTAAAACTATAGACATTGTTCACTTAAATTATTTCAACACGACCCAGATGTTACTGCTCCTGCATTCCAGACAACCCCTCCAGACAACCCTCGTGACGTCATCTGAATCAGTATGACGTCAACAGAGGTCATTCAGGACAAACCGCCCCCAAGGAAAAACCCCAAACGGCAAACCGCCCCAAAAGGAACACATATGCCACTTATAACATTACATGCATATGTTAAAATCGAAGAGCTTCCGAAAAAAATATTCTACTTTTGATAATATTTGTGTGCTACACTCATTCATTTCTCTAACAAATATGATGACAAATAAGTTTTATTGTGTTTTTTATTGACATCGAAAGAGCGTTTGATAAAGTGTAGCGAAATGGTGTCTGGAATAAACTGTATCAAGGAATAAATCTAAAATTGTATTGAATGGTCAAGAATAAAATTATTTCCCTTGTGAAATCGGATTGAGAAAAGGGGGAAATTTATCTCCCCTTCTTTTCAGTCTATATTTAAATGATGTAGAAGATTTTATGATTCGAAATGATATTAAGGGTGTTAAATGTATCAATAGTAAAATTGAAACCGACTTTCACATATATATTACACTTTTATCCTCTGATATGCAGATGCTACCATTTTAATTTCTTATAGTCCTAATGATTTACAAAATCAGTTTAATAGTTTTAGCGAATACTGTAAAATTTGAAAATTAAAAGTAAATATTAGTAAAACAATGATGCCAAAAACCATAATTTTCAAAACTTCACAATAGCTATGTATGATGTTTTAAAGAAAAGTAGAAAACTGAACTTATCTATCAAATGTATTTATGATATTTTTAATAAAATAATAAAACCTATCTTGCTGTATGGATGTGAAGTCTCGGGTTACATAAACACTCAGATTTTGGAACGTTTTCATTTAAAATTCTGTAAATTGATATTAGGGTTAAAAAAGAATACACCGAATTGAATGGTTTATGGTGAACTCGGTACATATTCCCTTTTGATTGAAATAAAAATAGAATGATTAGTTATTGGTTAGGAATGCTACAGTCTAAAGAGAGTAAATTGAATATTGTTTTGTATAATGTGCTATATCATGTTTATAATAATGAAAACAAATTAATTCCCTACTTGAAATTTATACAAAGTATTTTTAATGAATGTGGACTAGTATATATATGGAATTCCCAGTTTTTGGAACATAGTTACCCGCTACGGGTAAAACTTATAAGACAGCAATTATTAAATGAGCAGTTTTTACAAAACTGGAGTAATGACTTTTTTAATTCCTCTTAGTGTGCTACAGAGCATTTAAATTGTAATTTGAAAATTATTTAGAATTGTTGACTGACAATTAACGAGTTTTATTGTGTAAATTTAGAACTAGTAATCATAAGTTTATAGTGGAAACTGGAAGATGGAATAATGTTGATTACCGAAACAAGAAAATGCACATATCCAAGACATTGGTGACGAATTTCACTACTTGTTAAAATGTTCCTTTCTGTCTGCAGAAAGGAAGTTGTATTTATACAAATACTACTTTGTAATTTCGAATATTTTAAAGTTCAGAACTAATGAATACAAACAATGTTAAACATTGAAGAAATTGATGCAAATTTATCAAAATGTTGTTTAAAAAGTATAATGATTTGTACTCCATATATATTATGTTTGATATGGTATACTGTTGTAAATATGTTTTCTCTGAACATTTATAATTTTGAATAAAGACAAAAAATTGAAAGAAAAGTACTCAGATGGTAGACAGACCAGGTGACGCCCCATCTATATCAGCCAAGTGAATATGCCAACTACCCACTAGACGTATCCATATGTATTGTTGATGTCGAAGAACCATTGTTCAAGATTATTCCCGTAACTTCATCTTGAAATAATATTTGGGGGAAATATAGAAGTTAAAAAGATTAGTGAGAAACCACCAACATGAAATATACTTTAAATCTTATGAATTCATAAAAAGGAATGTGTTTCGGCGTCGTGTAGATTAACTAATTATATGTTAAATGTAATGTACTGTTGAGTTCCAAACGGATGCCATTAGAAGTGTAATTTCAAAACGAATTATCAATATTCACCAAAAATCAGCGGACAAATCGTCATTCCAATTTGTTTTTTTGGTTCTGACGAGGAAAATGTTGCCTATAAGTATATCTGCATCTGCCGCTGTGCAAACTACACGCGAGCGCTGTATAGGTTAATACAGGTCAGAGTTAGCGTCAGTGACCGACACGCTTCCGCCAGCAAGTACATCTAAATATAAGTCCATTATTGGTCTTTTATGAACTGCGTTTTAGGAGCGTGTTTAACCAAACGGTTAGTGTGCGTTTGCGTTGCGTTTCCGTTGCGTTTCCGTTGCGTTTGCGTTCCGTTTGCGTTGAGTTTGCGTTGCGTTTGCGTTGCGTTTGCGTTGCGTTTGCGTTTAAACGGACAAGAAAAACGGTCCTGGGTCTGTAATTACTCAATTATTTTCTACTGATAATTTTACTGACCAAATGAGGTACGTGTATAGACATGCATGCATGCACGACGCTGCCCAAATATTCGACTATAAATGTAAGTCATTGCTAAACTACCGAACGATTATTTCATGTATTGATCTATTTTATTTGAATATATATATATTTTTAATTTGAAAGCTTTATTATGCATATAACTATTTTTTTCTGGGATATAAAAAACATTTCAGCACTCACATATTCTTAAAATAACCTGTACATAGCCATCGATCGTTTTCTTACGTAACCAGTAAAACGCATGTTCAACGCACATTCAACGCTAAAGTTAAAACGCACATCAAACGGTCAACGCAAACGCAACGCAGACTAAGCGGAAACGCAACGGAAACGCACTTTCGGTAATAAAAACGGTCCAGGGTATGTACTAAATTTAAAAAAAAAAAGGTATTATCAATTAGTCAATTGTGACCGGATGGAGTGCTAAAAATAGGAAAGAAAATTAACAAACCTAACAACGTTCATATGGTAACTACATATTGTTAAACAGTCATTTATTATTTGATTGGTCAATTCGGGTCTCTGAAGCATAGGTGTAGAATTATATGGCTAAAACAGAAATAAAACTGAGTACTCAGGTACACCAGTATACACCACAAGATCAGTACATGTTGTATTTTATATGTTGACAGTAAATATTAAGAGAAAATATAGGCATTGTGTGTACATTGTAGTCATTCATGAGGTATTTCCATTATCATGGCACTCGTATATCGGGTGCCATGAAAATGTATTTTTAACTTGTTATGTACACACAACTTCTATAATTTAAAACGTTTTACTTATCGACTTTCCGCAGGTTGATACTGTTATATAAATTCATGCTGTTGACCGGAGTTGATTTATAAATGGTGGAACATCCAGACTTACCAGTTATTCCTATTCGCGCACATAAAATATGTACATCTAAATACATTTAATGTATGTGTTCTTTGTAAATCTATTTATGTATTTAAACATGTATATTCATAACTGTTTTTCGTTATACTCATCAGTGCACGTTAACGTTTACAGTTATTAAATTATCTAGCAAAATTGAAAAGGGAATAAGGAGATATATTTTTCTCTTTTATTTTCAACATCGTCACTTTCAAGTTGGTGACTATGCATGCTAGTGCTGTTTATTCTGACTATATATATATGTGCAGTTATTTTAATTGTGTCATTTGATAATTGTTAAGCGAAACCATGAAAAGTTTTGTATGTGACTGACATATATATTGTTTTATTATGGGACCCAAGAAACAAGCTATGCATGCCTGTCTGGCTTGCTACACTGGAAGGGTACATGTAACTAAGTGACTGTCAGATATCGCAGCATCCTCTACAACAGATGAGATAAATAAGAATTCTGTCAGCGGTAGTTAAGGTTTTTATAAAGATTCGTCCATCCATGGTCCAGTAGGTATCGATGGTTTTACTCCATTTGGCCCTTGCTAGTAGCTTGACTATGGACTGACGGGTCTCTGTGAGGTCTTCGGTTAGAAAAATTTTCCCCGGTTGTGTTTAAGGTTGCGCTTGTCCTAAAAACTTCATTATTAACGCTCCAGCTGCGGAATCTGCAGATCATCTGATATTTACCATCATGGGTTTCTCTCCCAATAACAGGCGATCTGAATACATCGTCTTTCCCAATGTTCACATTGAGCTTTGATCATCACATTTCAATGATTTTTGCGTCGGAGAATCATTGCCCATCTGCGTTAAGGGACACATTGTGACACGATAGTGTATTCCGTCTACCATATTGTTCTAGCTCCTTTATTTTGTCATCAACCAAGCCTGCTTTATTGTCAAGGGGAGCACACAACCTGCACTGTTCTTCCTCAAGTGGGGCACATTTTTCACTAATAAAATAATAAGAAAATTTCTGGTGGGTGATTACAGTCTCCTACTTCTGTATTGTCTCTTGGAGCTGCTTGAGTAGGTCTGTCAGGGTAGGTATCGGGTTAGGCAGCGAGTTAACACGGACGTGACCACTGCTGTGCTTATAAGCGAGTTTTCTCCGGGTATTCCGGTTTCCTCCCACATTAAGACTCTACGCGCGCTAACATTCGGGCCAACAAGAGTGATTAATATAAGTTGTATAAAATTATATCATAATTGTTGTAAAATAAATAAAGTTTATTTTTATTTAAAATTAGGTCATAAAGATGACTCAGCTGGTGGCCCCGGGCATTCGTTTCTGTTCATGGATACCCCTTCCCTCCTAACCCAAAGTTATTATTTTATTTCTCTGATTTTCCAGTTTTCATCCATTCAAACATTTTCCAGTTGTTCCAGTCTATGATGTGGTTGTGTGTGTTTGCATGATCTGTAATGGCTGATATATTGTATTGTGTTTCCGATGTCTTCCTTGTATTTCTAGTGTAGACTTGCTGTTTCATGGATTCAACGTCACTCTGATGTTCTTTTAGGCATGTCCCAAATTTCCGAGATGTATGTAAGATTGCAGCTGTTATATTGAATGTGGTTGGCCACCCCTGTTTGGTCTTCCTTCGGCAATTTGTCTTTCGGATGAATTAATAGCTACTGGAAGGCGTGCTAATATGGTGTTTGCGCAACACTCTTGAAAATGCTTCAGACACCCTTTAATGTAGAAAATAGTGACCATGCCGTTAGTTTTATCTCTCTGTGTTTGTACGCTTTTGTTTCTAGGGGTCATTTGGATTGCTTTTATTTTTCATTTGCTTTTTCTTCTTTCCTTATCGATTTTTCGGGATATCAACATTTTGTCAGGGCCTGTTTTATATGTCGCTTTTCAATTTCCTTGTCCAAATGTTTTTGAGGTAATGATCTGTGTGTGTTGTTTTATGTATACCAGCAACATGATGGAACCGTCAGCTCTTCTTACGATAAGGGTTGCCAAGCAAAGATTTTTCTCATCTTGTTCTTATTCTGATGTACTTTTCATGGAGCCTGTACAGTGTATAGTGCATCATCTACCTGGTAATGGTGAGTTGATTGGCTGTTAACCTCATCTTCATTGACTTCTTCCAAGAAATCTTCAACATATGTTTTCAATAGTTCAGGACGACACTCCATCGGATCAGTTGTGATGTCTTCCTGCTCCAGATGCTCCTTAAATAAATTAGCAACTTTGGATGATACTGGGCTCCCTATTTCTGCCCAAAAATGGGTTAATATGTTTCCCGTCCCATGACTCCCTGAAATATCGGTAATGATTTTTGACAGCTAACTTTATTGATTCGGTTTGCTGTGGCTTAGTGAGTTGTTGTCAATGTCGATACATCGGTCATTTACACTTCTGGCAAAGAGCAATGACAAAGGAAAGGTTTCAATTCTTGTTTGTGTTTAAAACAAACTTAGCCTTTATTATTCATTCCTTACTAATAAATCTTATTCCAAATAAAAGAAACAGACGTTTTCGAAAGCTTACAACTACTGTTTGTGTGTTCAAAACAAGCGTAGCATATATGATGTTCGTGTGGTTTTGCATATTAGGCCTCCCCTTTTACAACTCGTTTAGTGATGCCGAGTTTTCTGCGATCTGTGTTGTAGGTCGAGGGTTGCAACTAAGATCGGGGGCTAACGAGGCTCGGAGTGAATGTATCATGTTTATACATGGCGACAGTATCTTACCACAACAATATAACGAGTCTGCCTTCCGATGTCTTCAACGGCCCGGAGTGGTGGCTGGGGCGTTCAGGTTCGCACTTGATCTGGTCAACAGGTAAGCTACGAATACAAGTAATGAAGCTTACCAAAAGGGCATCAATTACACACGTTCTAATTTGGTCATGTTAATTTCATGTCGAGCTAATTTCTTAAGAAATAGTTTTTTATTTTTTTTCCTTAAGACTGTCCATGATTACTGAAGCTTTATTAAAGTTGGTCATCGTTAAGCCTCCATGAGGCCGATTTACTAGTAAGCAATCTGTGAACTCTGTTACTAAAACTACAAAACACATTTTGTATAGTAATAATGCAAGTACATGTAGGACAGTAAAATGGCGCGAACAGTGTTAAACAGATAAAGGACGATAGAAATGTAAAGTAAAACTCTACATGACGTCAACAGTGTAAAAACAAACGAGAAGTCAGCAATGTAGAGTCAAACAAAACGTCAGAAAGGTAAAGCAAAACGGTAATAAACCGTCGGTAATGTGAAATCAGATAGGACATGAGCAATGTAATATCAAACAGGATATCAGAAATGTCACTACAAACAGATTTCATAAATCAAAATTAAAATAGTAAAAGGTGGTCAGCAATGTTAATTCGAACAGGATGTCGGAAATGAAAAGTCAAACAGGACTTCAGTAATGAAAATCAAACAGGAGATCGACATTATTCAGTGGAACATGAAATCAGCAAAAAAACACCCGAAAGTCAACAACGTAAAATAAAACACTAGTAGGACGTAAGCATATTAAGACGACCCCTAGCAGGACGTCAGAAATGTGCAGCAAAGGCGATCGTCGACAATGTAAAGGTGAACTTTTAAAATGCAAAATCAAAAAGTAAAAAATAACGTCAAACCAAACCAGACAACAGCCATGTAAAGTCAAGCAACAATTCATAATTGTAAATTCAAACAAAACGCCAGCAATGTTCCTCTAACAGGACGCTATTAATGTAAAATTCAAATATGACGTCCGCAATATCAAATCAAACTCAAACCGGAGGCCAGTAATGTAAACGTCAAGCATGACACTCGTAATTTAAAATGTCAAACAGGACTTCAGCATGGTAAACTCAAACAGACCATCAGCAATGTAAACCCAAACAGGACATCGACAATGTCAACTTTGGTTTGGTTTGGTTTGTTTGTGTTTTACGTCCTATTTACAGCTATGGGCATTTAGGGACGTGCCAGGTTTTGGTGGTGGAGGAAAGCCGTTCCCGGAGAAAAACCACCGACCAGCGGCCATTACCTGGCGACTCCCCCACGTAGGCCTAAAACCCGCGACCCGGTGGTGGAGGAATAGAGTAACCAAGACGATCAGACGGCTTGACCACTTGGCCACCGCGGCCCCACACAATGTTAACTCAAACAGAACGTAAACAATGTGTAAAAAACAAGACGTTGCCGTAGTAAAATCACACAGCAAACTGACTTAAGAAATGTGAATGTTTAACCAAATAGATGTAAACAGTAGCAATTGAACTGGGTCGTTAGCAATGTAAAATGAATTTGAACGACCGGAAGTCAAAACAGAACGTCAGGAATGTCAGTGAAAAGTCGAACGGCAGGTAAGCAGTGTGAAGTCAAACAGGACGTCGGCAATGTAAAATCAAACAGGACGACTTCAATGTAAAGTCAAACAGCACGTCGGCAGGGTTAAGTCAAACAGCACGTCGGCAGTGTAAAGTCGAACAGGACGTCAGCAATGTAAAGTCAAACAGCACGTTGGCAGTATCAAGTCAAACAGGACGATGGCCGTGTAAAGTAGAACGGCATGTAAGCAGGGTAAAGTCAAACAGCACGTCGGCAGTGTAAAGTCGAACAGGACGTCAGCAATGTAAAGTCAAACAGCATTGTTAGGGCAACTAATATCAAGACTTCACCAATGTCAATTAAAACAGCAATAGGACATCAGCAATGTAAGGTAAATCTGCATTACAGCAAAAGAAATCAAACTGGAACGACAGCAATTTGCAGTCAAAAGGGTCGTCATCCATGTCAATTTAATAAATAACTGAAGGACAGCTATTATGACAGCAATTTTAAGTCAAACAGGACGACTTCAATGTTAGACTAAACAGCACGCCGGCAGTGTAAAGTCGAACAGGACATCAGCAGTGTAAAGTCAAACAGGACGTCGGCAGTGTAAAATCAAACAGGACGTCGGCAATAAAAAGTCAAAGACCACGTCGGGAGTGTCAAGTCAAACACCACGTCGGCAGTATTAAGTCAAACATCATGTCGGCAGTGTAAAGTCGAACAGCATGTCGGCAGTGTAAAGTCGAACAGCATGTCGTGAGTGTAAAGTCTAACAGCATGTCGGCAATGTAAAGTTAAACAGGACGACGGCAGTGTAAAATCAAACAGAACGACTTCAATGTCAGGTCAAACAGCACGCCGACAGTGTAAAGTCAAACAGCACGTCGGCAGTGTAAAGTCATACAGCACGTCGGCAGTGTAAAGTCGAACAGGACGTCACCAATGTAAAGTCAAACAGCATATCGGCAGTGTCAGGTCGAACAGCATGTTGTGATTGTAGCGTCGAACAGCACGTCGGCAGTGTGAAGTCAAACAGTTTGTCGGCCGTGTCAAGTCGAATGGCATGTAAGCAGTGTAAAGTCAATCAGGACGTCGGCCGTGTAAAATCAAACAGGACGTCGCAATGTAAAGTCAAACAGCACGTCGGCAGTGTAAAGTCAAGCAGCATGTCGGCAGTTTAGTCAAACAGCATGTCGGCAGTGTAAAGTATAACAGCATGTCGGCAGTATAAAGTCAAACAGTACGTCGGCCTTGTTCAGTCGAACATCATGTAAGCAGTGTAAAGTCGAACAGCACGTCGGCAGTGTGAAGTCAAACAGCACGTCGGCCTTGTTAAGTCGAATAGCATGTCGGAATTGTAAAATCAAACAGGATGTCGGTAGTATAAAGTCAAACAGCATGTTGGCAGTGTCTAGTCGAACAGTATGTAGTGAGTGTAAAGTCGAACAGCATGTAGCGGCAGCGTAAATTCAAACAGGACGCCGGCAGTGTACAATCAAACAGGACGTTGGCAGTGTAAGGACAAACAGCATGTCAGCAACGTAAAGTCAGCATATCAGCAATGTTAAGTGAAACAGCATGTCGGCAGTGCCAAGTCCCACAGCATGTCGGCAATGTAAAGTCAAACAGAATGTCGGAATTGTAAAAATCAAACAGGACGTCGGCAGTGTAAAATCAATAAGCATGTCGGCAATGTAAGGTCACACAGCATGTCAGCAGTGTTAAGTCGAACAGGACGTCGGTAGTGTAAAGTCAATCAGCACGTCGGCAGTATAAAGTCAAACAGGTCGTTGGCCGTGTAAAGCCGAACAGGACGGCGGCAATGTAAAGTCAAACAGAACGTCGGCAGTGTAAAGTCAAACAACACGTCGGCAGTGTAGTCAAACGGCATGTTGGCAGTGTAAAGTATAACAGCATGTCGGCAGTATAAAGTCCAACAGCACGTCGGCCTTGTTCAGTCGAACATCATGTAAGCAGTGTAAAGGCAAACAGGACGATTTCAAGGGAAGATAAAACATCACGTCGGCAGTGTAAAGTCGAACAGCACGTCGGCCTTGTTAAGTCGAAAAGCATGTCGGAATTGTAAAATCAAACAGGATATCGGCAGTGTAAAGTCAAACAGCACGTCGGCAATGTACAGTCGAACAGCATGTCGGCAGTATAAAGCCAAACAGCATGTAAGCAGTGTCAAGTCAAACAGTATGTCGGGAGTGTAAAGTCGAACAGCATGTAGTGGGCAGCGTAAATTCAAACAGGACGCCGGCAGTGTACAATCAAACAGGACGTCGGCAGTGTAAAGTCAAACAGCATATCAGCAGTGTTAAGTCGAACAGGACGTCGGCAGTGTAAAGTCAAACAGCACGTCGGCAGTATAAAGTCAAACAGGTCGTTGGCCGTGTAAAGCCGAACGGCATGTAACCAGTGTAAAGTCAATCAGGACGTCGGCAGTGTAAAATCAAACAGGACGTCGGCAATGTAAAGTCAAACAGCACGTCGGCAGTGTTAAGTCAAACAACACGTCGGCAGTGTAGTCAAACAGCATGTCGGGAATGTAAAGTATAACAGCACGTCGGCAGTATAAAGTCAAACAGAACTACGGCCTTTTTCAGTCGAACATCATGTAAGCAGTGTAAAGTCAAACAGGACGATTTCAATGTAAGATAAAACATCACGTCGGCCGTGTAAAGTCGAACAGCACGTCGGCCTTGTTAAGTCGAAAAGCATGTCGGAATTGTAAAATCAAACAGGATGTCGGCAGTATAAAGTCAAACAGCACGTCGGCAATGTACAGTCGAACAGCCTGTCAGCAGTATAAAGTCAAACAGCATGTTGGCAGTGTCAAGTCGAACAGTATGTAGTGAGTGTAAAGTCGAACAACATGTAGGCGGCAGCGTAAATTCAAACAGGACGCCGGCAGTGTACAATCAAACAGGACGTTGGCAGTGTAAAGTCAAACAGCATGTCAGCAACGTAAGGTCGAACAGCATATCAGCAGTGTAAAGTGAAACAGCATGTCGGCAGTGTCAAGTCCCACAGCATGTCGGCAATGTAAAGTCAAACAGAATGTCGGAATTGTAAAATCAAACAGGACGTCGGCAGTGTAAAATCAATAAGCATGTCGGCAATGTAAGGTCGAACAGCATGTCATCAGTGTTAAGTCAAACAGGACGTCGGCAGTGTAAAGTCAAACAGCATATCAGCAGTGTTAAGTCGAACAGGACGTCGGCAGTGTAAAGTCAAACAGCATGTCGGCAGTATAAAGTCAAATAGGTCGTTGACCGTGTAAAGCCGAACGGCATGTAACCAGGGTAAAGTCAATCAGGACGTCGGCAGTGTAAAATCAAACAGGACGTCGGCAATGTAAAGTCAAACAGCACGTCGACAGTGTAAAGTCAAACAACACGTCGGTAGTGTAGTCAAACAGCATGTCGGCAGTGTAAAGTATAACAGCACGTTGGCAGTATAAAGTCAAACAGCACGTCGGCCTTGTTCAGTCGAACATCATG